TTCAAACTTACTACTCTTTTCTGACTGAAATTTTACATCCATTGACCAGCATTATATACCAATCCCCAACCCAACTGTTCTAGCCGCAGTCAACCACCATTCTACTCTCAGTTCTATAAGATATACATTATTCAGATTCCACATGAGTGAGATTATACAGTGTTTCTCTTTCTGTGCTTGGACTCTTTCACTTAACATAATGCCCTCAAGGTTTATGCATATTATTGCAAATGGTACATATGATTAAAATATATATATATATATAAAACTGACTTGATTTCCTTTGGTCATAAACCCAGTTAGTTTTATTTAGCGATTCCACAACATGTACATATTTTAAAACATTACATTGTGGGTGACAAATATATACATTTTTATTCTGTATTTAAAATTAATTTGAAAAAATAAAGCACCCTACCAAGGACACTGTACAATAGGCGATCAGTAAATGATGTTTTTCAAGGCAACACTATTCTTCTGGATGAGAAATGCCTGATATCTTCTTCCTTTTTTCCTCAACCACTAAGAAAATCTCAAGTTTCTCAAAGGCTTTTTTTGAAAAGCACCAGATTTTAAAACTGGCACATCAATCTGGTTATGGCTCCCTACCATCTGGACTTCTCTAAGAATTACACCCGCAGTACATAAACCAAATCAATACTAACAAAGAATTACCAGGGCTTGTGGCTTTTTAAAGCTAATAAATTTCTTTGTTCAAAGATTCAGCTGTCCTAGGCTCTAAATAAAGTCTTCATCCTCTGATGCTAATAGGCTGAAGTCATTCTCCTCTGATGCTAATGGGCAAGCCCTCAGTGTTGAGGACAGAGGATGGGCATCATTTGGTTTGGAAGAAGTAATGAAGAGAATCAGGAATAGAGGCCAAAGTAGCCCTAGGCGCTCATCAGGACCATAAAACCCATTCTGACTGGTATTCTACTCTCTATTGCCTCTGCCTGGATTGATATTACTGTTTGAAACAAAGGACTCTAGGAGTAGAAGGATGCCTCCCTTTTGTCTCAGAAACAGTAGACTATCCAAGAGGAGATGTCCCTTTAGTACAGTTAGAAACAAGGGAGCAAAGGAAGTCACTTCCTCCATTCACTTCATTTTAAACAGCATCCCAGGGCCATTCTTCCTCCCATTGTCCTAAGAGAGAAAAATCACATAATAACTCAAGTGATCTCTGATGCTCTAGGTGACAGCACACATGCATTGGATCGCCTAGTCTTACCTTTGGTCACCTTCACCAGACTCAATCTTTATTAAGGGTTCATAAACATGTAGTACTCATGCACCAATCAACATCAGATTGAATTTTGGGACACACACACATATTAAGAGCCCCTGAGATAACTGAAAACACTGTCAATCACACCTACAGATTCAGAGCAGACACCTGGGCTGAGGTGCAGATCCTTTAAATTTTGAAAGCCTCATTTATCAGTGGCTGCTGTGTGCTGTGATCTGTGTGCGGTCCTTTTGGTATCCTGTCACTCTGGAAACACTTTTCTGTTTGTGCCATATTTTTTGTCACACAGACTTGCCTTAAGCACAACTTTCTGTGATTTTCAATAAATGTAGCTGTTTCTCGCTCGCTACTTGGATTGTATACTTGTAATTATTTGCTCATACAAAAGAGCCTGAAATTTATCCACTAACTTCACCATGCAGTAATACCCACCAGCTACCTTGCCTCCTACCCCCCACATACACCAACAGCGGATCATTCTAAAATGAAGCATTTCTCTTCTTTTTACAGAAACAGGTTGTCTGAAACCCAAATAGTAGGAACAGAAAATGGAATAAAAAGATATACAGAATATACAAGAGCCAGAAATAAAGTTTTGAGTGATAAACAGATTTGAGAGACAGTTTAGACACCAAAGATAGGAAAATTAAGGCCTAACAAAGGGAAGGTTTGAGTGAAGTATCATAGAGAATTAATAAGAGAGCCAGTCTGAGAGTCTAAGATTTCTTTCTATCCAGTGCCCTTTCGACTTCACCAGACTGTCCCTTTAAAAGGTCTCTGCATGCAAAATTTGCATGCAAACAGAATGCAAAATCTTAATATAATTGAAGCACAGTTATTTCAGACTAGTGCTGTAATCATTTGCAATCTAGATATCAGCACATTAATTATAGTAAATGTGTGTGTGTGTGTGTGTGTGTGTGCATGTGTGTGTTTAAAAGTTCCTCAGACTGCACATGCATAGGTGGTGCACACCTGTGATCTAAGCACTCTGGTTGGCTGAGGCAGGAGGATCACCAGTTCCAGTCCAGCCTTGGCAACTTTGTATCTTAGTCACATCCTGTCTCAAATTCTTTTTATTTCCTCACACTAACTTGTATTTCCACAAACTAAAAATCAATGACTATCCAGCACCATTTAAAACAACAACATAAAACATATTCCAGAGAAGAAGTAAGTTCCAGCAAAATACAAAGTTATATATTCTGAGATTTATCAAGCTTATTCCCAATCCCCACCTCATGACAGAGACAAGAACCATCATGGTACCGGGAAGGGAGCCTATTAAATCTGTACTACATGCTGATTGCTGTGCATACTATTCTTTTCCCCATTTGTATTTTCTTTTGTCTTTCTTTTCTATTTATAATGTATCTTTTTGGATTTCATTCAACCTTACAAGCCACTATACCTAATTTTTGGATAGTAAGAGATACATAAATAATCCTAAAAGCCGGGTGTGGTGGTATGTACCTGTCATCGCAGCACTCAGGAGGCTGAGGCAGAAGGATCCTTGCGAGTTGGAGACCAGCCTGGGCTACAAAGTGAGAAAAAGGCCAACCTGAACAGCACAGCAAGACCCTGTCTCACAAAGATGACAAAAAAGTAATACTACATACTTTTTCATAAGTTCACAGAAAGTCTTCAAGGTAGGTATTACTTTATTCATTTCCTTTTGTTTTTTTAAACATGAGGATATCAATCCAGAGAGGTCCAAGAAGTTTTCCTCCAGTGTCTAATGAAGATATTGTTTTCCCACTGATAAAGTGAAGTCAATACTAGTTCCTCCACTCAGAGGGTTTTGTCATAGTACCAGCATATAGTAACTCAGACAAACAAAAGTTAACTCTCATCTATAATAGCCAGGCAACAATTTTCCTACTTGATATAATATCAGTGACTGAGATCCCAGCTATTTTTAGATTTCTAGATAGTCCTTTTTCCTCTTACATAAAGACCTGAATGAAAAATAATGCCCTTTCCCATCTCCATCATCTCTTGTCTTTCCTCTCACCCAATGGAATATTTATAGGAACAGAATTAGTCCATTGAATCCAACCTACATTTTTACACAGGGTCTCACTACACAATTCAGGCTGGCCTTGAGCTCACTTTGTAGCCCAGGCTGCTCTCAAACTTGCAACGATCCTCCTGCCTCATCCTCCCAAGTGCTGGGATTGCAGGAGTGCACCAATCTACTTCTTTTTTCTTCCTTTCGCTCTGTACCAGCAGAGAAGTCCCTATACAGTACAGGGACACAGGGAAGCAAGGGCATCTTGGAAATCCATAGATAAGCGTCCTCAATCTTTTGAACAATAAATCAAACTTCCACTCAATTAGAGGCCGATTGGGATATGAGATAACAGCCCATGTTATGAGGTCTCAGTCGCTGAAAATGAGATCCCCATTTTTGTTCCTGGAAGTTTGGCCACAGATGAAATATTCCCTTGGCCCCTAGCAAGTCTTCCAATGCCAAAAGATCCTGTAGCCTTCATCTGATTATTAGATTATTATTAGCACATCTCTTCTGAAAATGACAATTCTTAGTGAAGAGACAACTCTTCAGTTAGAGATGGAAATAACCTTTTTATCTATAGGGAGAAAGCAATTATCTCCATGGCATACCGGCAAGAGATAAAACTTCCTCCTACCACATTCATCACTCCTAGTGTTGTCCTAAATCCAGACAGTCCTTTAAAAGAAAAGTATACACTTCCCTTCTCTTTGAAGCACAAAGAGAAAAAAAGGAGAAAGGGGAAGAGAGACAGAGACAGAGATAGAGATAGAGATAGAGAGAGAGAGAGAGAGAGAGAGAGAAGGAATATAGGAGGGAGAGAAAGAAGGGAGAGGAGAGGAAGAGAGGAGAGACAGAAAAGTGACAGAAGCTTTATAGTACACTGGCAAGAATCCCAGCTATGCACCGAGTGTAATTAGGTTATTTAACTTCTGAATTTCATATTAAAATAAAGATGAGATCACTTACATCTTTCAAGGTTGGAAGGAAGTCCCTGTGTGCTCATGTCTTTAAAGCATCTGATATACAACTGTTATGACTTATATCTAAATTCTCCACTTCCCAAAGCTTCATGTGGCCATAAGTGAGCTTTTCAGAGGTTACTAGATCTGAGTTGTGTGCTGTTCAGATCAACAATGCGATGCTGAGATTGAGTCCTGCTGCAATGCTATGATTAAGGCTGCCCCACTGTGAGTGTGAGTGCTACTTACCTTAAGGATGGGTATCTTGGGTAAGATATAAGGACAGAAAGAAGGTCACTGCTTGTTGCTTGCTGCTTTGCTTTCTGCCTACTACTTTTCTGCTTTGCTGCTTTCTGCTGCCCATGAACGTTTTCCCTCTGTCATGCCCCACTGCCACGCCATCTTGTCTTTGAGTCAGCCTCAGACTGAAATCTCTATGAACTGAGTTAAGAACCTTTCCTACTTTTACTTTGGATGTCTGGTATTTTATCTCAGCAACTAGAAAAATATAACTAAGACAGCAATCATACTCCCTTTCTCTCTTCCTCTTTGTTCATAACCAATTATAGGATTAATTAACGTGCAGACTACCAAATTTAACCTTTGTCTCCTTTTTCTTAAGGTCAGAGTCAGCCTCTTTTTTGATCTATCTTGCCAAATTAAGTAGAAAAAGAGATCTTTCTAAAAAGAAATAGAAGGCACAGATAATTTGTATTATGGTAGGAGCTACTGAGACAAGAGAAGGTGGCAAAGGAGCAAAGAGTCCCTCACTTACCTGATCAAACAGCTGCTTGCCAGTGGTGTTGGGCTGGATAGCAAACTCCAGCTCTGCGTCCATGGTGGTCACACGCACACTAATCTAGAATGAGATTAAAGAAGACAGGTTAGTCATCTAGCTCTGTGCTTGGCAGAGGCTGGGATAAGCGTTCAACTACCGAGGAAGGATGTAGGATGCGAAGAATTTGAGCAACTCAGATACTGGTGGAATGAAAGGAGAACTACAAACAAGTCACAACCTAGTGGTTGCTTTCAATCAGTTAGTTGAAAACAAAAGACACAGCCACAGAACAATGCTTACCAAAAGGCAAACAAGAATGCAAATCAGCCTACTAATCAAGAATAACAAAACATTAACTATACTTCCTCCAAAGTCTTTCCCACTTACACCAACCAATTCCAGCCCATAACACACTCTTCTTATCTCTTTATATACAGCTTGGATTATCTATAGCACAGATAGAAAACTTCAAGGACAAGTTAATAGAAGAATAAAGAATAATATATCTGGTTCTAAGCCTAGCACTATAACTGGGTCAAACATAATCTTAGGGTCAAACATAATAACTCTTATTTCTTTCCTGGGCCTTAGTTTCTCTAATCTGTGATTAATATTTTCTATTATTTCTGTTTCAGTTGTCTCTGTGGGCACAAGAGAGGAAGGGAGCCTTAGGAGAGATGGGTGTGGACAACATAAAGTTGTTATCAAAATCAAGTCAATAGAGAAATAAAAGGACAAGGAGAGATCCAGACCAAAATAACAGGTAGCACACACATGATTTCATAGAAACTGGAAAATGTAGGAATCATTTTTACAAATATATTCCCTAACCTAACTTAATGATAGCTGAAATTTCATTATTTGAGACTTGTTCTTTGACTGAAAACTTGGCAGGGATGGCAGTAGTAGCGACAATAACAAGTCCCAGCTTTCATGTATTCAGAGTTACTACTCACTAGACACTTCATACGCAATATCCCATTTAATATTATCCATCAACCTGTGAAACATGAAGTATTTTCCAGGATGCTAACATACGACTTACAACACTATTGAGGGAAAGATTAATTAGAGAACAGTCAAAGATGTGAATCTTCATGCAGTGACTAAGACATTAAACTTTATTAGTCTTTGAACTTCTGGGCCTTTCTTGAGCAAAGGGGTCAGGCAGCAGAGAAGAGGGAACCAGACAGCCATTCTGCTAGCTACACAATTCTGATGAAAACCAGGCCCAGCCCAGAGAATGATTCCATAAATAAATTTCACCAGGGACCCAGGGAGGAAGTCTATTTCAGGATTGTCAATGGGACAGGAAAGACCCTGAAGGCAGGAGTAAGTAAGACAAGAACCCTATGGGAGTAAGGCAAGTTAGCCACCCTAACTTGGTGCTACCTTAGTTTTCTTACCAATCCAGTGACTACTGAAGAAAGGACCCTCATAAAGTAAGAGAAATGGAGCCAAGGGGGGGTTGGAATTTGGGGTACATTACTACATATCCAATTTCAAATTACTCTTGAGCTGGGTCAGGGGTGACCTCAAAGCACAAATGACTGAGAGGACAGGAAGAGTAGAATACATACAATGGATTTTCTAGTGTATTGGATTTCATTTTCATGTCAAGGTTTGTGTCTAACTTTGAATTACCTCTATAGTACCATGGCTCACTGGGTATTCACAAAATGTTGACTACATGAATAGCTATAAAATGAGGAAATTTAAGAAATAGATATAAAATAGCATATACATAGGTGAAGACATTTTGCATTTTGACCCTTTTATGCCATGGACCCTTCTTGGCAGTCTGATGAAGCCTATGGAGCCCATATCAGAATATTTGTCAATGTATGAAATAAAGAAAATACAAAGAGAACAATTACATTGAAGATACCAAAATTTAATATGTATTCATATTAAGTAATGACTTATCACTGAATCTCACTATTACTTCTATAATTTCAAATTTGCATTAGATATAAATTATACTTGAGAAATCTATAATAACTATATTATGACATAAAAATATCTTAGATTTCCATTGATGACAAAGTCAGAGGTACTGCCTATACTGTTGCAGTTAATTTGTTTTGTCCCGCATTCATACCAGAAAAAAGAAGTTAAATTATAAGTTAGAAGTCAGTGAAAACAAATACGGTAACTCTACTGATGGTCAATTTGCTCAAGTTAAATGGTGAAGTATTTGCATCTAATACTTCACACATTCTCCTGTTTAACTCTAGATGAGTTATAAAACCTAGTAACACTATATATACCTACTTCAGAGGGAATAATGCCCTCCCTCTAGTGAAAGAGAAGCATAAAGATTGAGAAGACAAGTGGAAGGCCTTAAAGGTTGCACTAGAAAACTAGATCTAACTTCTTTGGGCAGTGACCAGCATAGATTCTGAATGGAAATGGGAGCAGAAGCAGAACTGGGTTCTTGGGGGAAAAATGACTGTGAGCTGAGAAAGGGAGTACAATTCCAGGAAAACATTCCACAACTTAGGAGCCCTCTTTGAATTCATACTATTAGAAATACTTTAAGGAAGTAAGATAATAGCATTGCTTGCAGATCAAATCAGATGAAGCTCATGTCAACCTAGTATCTTCCAGGCACTGACCAAGCATGGAGCATAGTGCCAGCCCATAGCAGGCACTCAAGTATTTGTTCAGGAAATGTTTCTTAAATAAATTCCTTGGTAAAGAGGGGCCTACTCTGAATCAGGAACAAGCATATCTGAGAGGCTAGTGCTGGCTATGTTTCCTCTTTCATAGATACAGCATCAACCTGGAATAAAGACTCTCCTAAAATCTAGAGCGGTCCAACTCAAAGAGAACTGGAACCTGTTTCCCCTAAATTCCTACTCAGGGCTTTTGTCACTCCACTGTGGCTGTGGTTGCTTCTCTGGGGATAGTAGCTGACGTTTTCCTGAATTCTACTGTGGAAATAGGACAGGTGTTTAAAAATTAGGGGAAAAAACCCCCAAAGGCAACTTCCATACTTGCCATCACTTAACTCAAAGGAAAATATGAGTCATAAGGACAAGTTTATGGGTATGTGCCCTCCCATTTTCTATGCATGTCAGAAGTATGTGAGAGGAGTGGAAGAAGAGGGTTAATAACAACTGGGACCCAAAGATGATGAGTAGGGCAGGAGATCTGATCAAAAGTCTGCTTGCTCTTAGAAGAATCTGGGATCCAAGTTACACAAGATGAGCTGTACTGTCACAGGGCCCATAAGCCCATTTACCCTTTTGGGCCTGGTCTCTGCTCTCTAACTAAGAAGGTAGTAGTCTCATGTGAGAGACAAAAACTTGAAAATGAAGCTTCCAAATGCAGCAGAAACTTCCCAGGCAGCCCCTTAGCTTGGGAAGAGTAGAGGAGCTGATTTGGGCAGGGTAGCATTTCAAAATGCAGTTCCCACCAGAGAACTGCTTATAGAACTAATCCCTGCCTTAGCTGAGCCTGAAGATATAGACTCAGCCTGAGAGCAAAGACTATGTCATGAACAGTTTAAGGAACAGCAAAGAAATATCTGGGGGCAGTTGTCATCTTTTCACACACACTAGCCTTCCAACTTTAGTCCAAAAATATAGACACTTCTCACACCAAGCTCTTCTTTGAGCATTAACAAATCCATCTTGGTGATCTACCATCCAAATCGTTAAAAAAAACTTGGATCTCTCTCATCTTCACGAGGCTTACTAAGGTAAAAAATAATCAGACTAGGTACTACCATTCTCTGCCTTAGCAACAACAGCTGGGGCACTTTGTTCTATGGGCCTGGTCAGTTTCACATGAGGGTCCCTATCTTTCCCTAGAGCCAGACGATTCATGTGAGCAGCAGCCAGGCTCTATCAAGAGTCTGGAATTGGTTTGTACTCACTTGCCCCATGTCACTGAACTATAAGATGATTCCTTTGTGTAAAAAAGACTGGGGAGAAGCAGAGGGAAAAGCAGTGAAATAACCACAATTAACTTTGCCTAAAGCATATACACTACCTCCAATCCAGCAGGGATGGACATTACTAGATCCACTTCATAGATGAAAAAAATGAAGTACATAGAAGAGGTCACAGAAGAATGGAAAGAAACACTTACTGCATACCAACTATGCACCAGCCCCATCACCCATAGTCTCACTTAATATCACTGAAGTCACATTTACTCAGCCAGCAAGTGGCAAAGGCGGGTTTTCTGGACATTCCTAAAGCTCCATCGACAATTCCACCCACCTCTCCAGTCATGCATATTTCATTGCTGTCTGAAGACAGCACTGCATTGGCAACTATTTTGGCCAAAACCCAAATACTTTGTCATATAGTAAGTCTGGGTATAACTGAGAAGCACTGATTGGGAAAGCTCCTTGCCTCCAGAGGGTAAAACATGTGAGTCAGTTCAGTTAAGAATGACCTCATCTCCCATCTGCCATCTTTTCATTCTCCAAGTGCCCACTCCCCCAGAGTTTCAATGGAATTACTAATGTGATGAAGTAGGCAATTATAATTGGGGGATGGGAACCAAAGAAAGGTTAAGATTTACCAGAGCAATCCTAGAACTTCAGTCTCTTCTCTGAAACAGTTGTTATCAGTGTCATCCAAACCACCTTCAGCAGTCTGGAAGCCAATTCCCATTATTTGCACTCCAGTACCCACCATTTCCAACTGCTAGGACTGGTACTATGGCAGGGTGGGCCAGGGCCTAGTCTATCTTGCTTCTTGGAATGGTAGCACCCCTTAAGCACCGTTTTCCAAAAGGTGAAAAACAAGGGTTGCTTTGAATCTCCAGCCTAGGAGCCACTGTCTTCTCACCACCACTTCTACCACCACTACCACCGACTCATTTACTTCCCAACAATTCAGACTCTTCCTTGTTGACTTAGAAGTGGTACCTGGTATAGCTATCTGCTCTGACCTTTTCCTGCCTATTTCTAGGCCTTTATCACAGTCAGTAAGAACTGCTGCAGGTTAACCTTTCCTATCCCTTTGTGTTTTATCAGTAGTTTCTAGAAAGAACTATACCCAACCCCACCTACATCCACAATTTAATGGGTCAATATTAGTTCTTCAACCCCTGCAAATGCT